AAATATAATTTTAAATATTTTTTCTAGAGGAAGGACGCATGGAAGTCCAGATGCAGCCTTGGTCTCTGCTCAATCCCAGGCCCTCCCCGTTGATTGAGGCATCATCTGCTTGTCTTAGAGGTACGGCAGCAGCCCAAGGCCACCTTAGGGCCCTCTGGAGCACTGCTAGAATCCAGGAGGCAGGGCAGGGCAAAGCAGGCCAACTCCCAGTAGGCTGTGAGGGCAGACGAGGGCAGTCTCTACATCACTGTGCATCCTACCATCCCTGGCCCTCTTCCCTCTCTCCTGGCCAGACTACTCTTCAGCCAGCATTCCTCAAACACATTTCCTCCTTTGTTCAACAGCTCTCATACCTACCACTCCCAGTTCACTCCCCACTGCCCCCCCCACCCCCCAACACACACACACTGAAGCCAGCAGTGGGAGGTAGGAGTGTCCTCTCCCTTTGCACTGGGCTCCGGTGGAAAGAAGACAGGCTTAGGAGTCTGGGCAGAAGTCCCCATTCAGTCCCTTACTTGTTGTGTACTCCAGGGCAAGTCGCCTTGTTTCTCAGACTCTGAAATCTCCATCCAGAAGGGGGGGTGCTAACACCTCACAGGGGACTTTTGAGGTTGAAAGGACATCGTGTGAGGGAAAATGCATGGCATGGTGCCTGCCATACAGCAGACAGTTCAGTATCCATCCGTTCCCTCGTAGGCAGGAGAAGGGTTTGATGCAGTTCTCACCCACTCTACCAGGCTCCTTTGGGCTCCTGTGCACCCACCCGCACACTCCCTGCCTCATGCTCTCTCATGTCTCCCTGCTGCTACATCCAAATACGTAACTGCATTCAGCACACACTTCCTGAGACCCTGTGCTGGACACTGGGGCCACAGAGATGACTCTTACTGGGTCCCTGTCCTTGATGTCACAGCCTAGGCCAAGAGACAGCCTTGTCCATTTGAGGTTAGTTTTGTGCGACAAAAAGTGCTTTTTGAGTGATCCACTCAAAAAGTGCTTCAGGAGGTCGGGGGTGGATTGGTTAAGAAAGGCTGGCTGGGGCTGGAAGGGTGTGAACAGCTGGTGGAGATAAAGGAGAGCAAGCCAAGTAGAGGGAACCTTGTAGAGCAAGGGCTTGGAGTGAACAAGGCCACATAATCAATGGTGACGAAACACTCCCTTTAGGCCTATCAGTGTACTAGGCACTGTGCTAGGCGCCTGGGCTCCTCTCAACACCCACTTTACAGATGAGAATGCTGAAGCTCAGAGAGCAAAGGGGCTTGCTCGAGATCACACTGCTAAGAAGTGGCAGAGCCAGGACTTGAACCCACCTCTGTATATCTCCAGATGCCCTCCACCAGGCCTCCCTGCCTCTCTGGGCTGGGCACTATGAAGGACTCAGAGATGATCCTCACTAGGATCCTGATCCCAGGTGCTCCCAGGCTAATGGGGGTCATGTGACTGGTACCCAAAGAACACTAAGAGGAGACATAAGCAGGATGGAAGCTTGGAAACAGATGCAAAGGGCAATGAGGACTCAGAAGAGGGAATCAAGAAACCTTGCTGGAAGCTTCAGGAACAGCTTCATGGTGGGGATAAACTGGCATTGGGCATTGCCAGACTGATGAAGTCCGGGGGTAATAACACTTTGTAATAATTGACCTACGTTGCTAAGTAACCTGCACATCTCTCCAAGCCTCATTTTATGTATGGGGAAACTGGGCTCCCAAAAGTTTCAATAACTTGCCCACAGCCCCACAGCTAAGAAGTGGCAGAGCTGAGACTTGAACCTGGGTCTTCCAAATCCAAGACAGTTCTATGTCTGCTCATGGCAGAGGAAATGGAAGGAGCATGTCGGGCACATGGCCGAAGAAGGGAAGTGAAAAGAAGAAACTTGGTGGACAAGGTCAAGGCCACATCACGGGGTCCTGAATGCCACAGTCTGAAAAACATAGGCTGATACCTGACTTTTTGACTTTTGAATGATTCACCTGGTACTAAGTATAGGTGGAAATGGGCAGGATAAGAGAGAAAGGAGGTGAGTGCCCCTTCCTAATGTCTCGGTGGAAAGGCATGCAATATGAACAGGGTGCCCTAGACACTGGGTCGAAGCTGGATACAGGAGACACGGCCGGGGTAGATCTGACAGCATGTGTGGCTAGCTCCCCTTTAGGCCCACAGGATCCAGGCCTCTACTTACCTCTCCCACGCCCTCTCCTTCTACCCTCCCTTTGCTCCTGCATTCCAGCCATGCTAAACAGCTGCTCACCCCCAGAAAACGCCAACTTTGCCTCCACCCCAGGTCCATTGTATCTGCTATTTCTTCTGCCCAGAACTCCTCCCCTTAGATCTTTGCCTGGCTGATTCATTCTCCGCCCTCAGGTCTTGGCTTACGTATCACCTCCTCAGAGAGGCCTTCCCTGATCATCCTATGGACGTAAGTGCTCAGTCACCACTGCCTTACCCTGCTTGATTGGCTTCATCACCCTTATAGCTGAAGTTAGCTTGTGTATGTGTTTATCGTCTACCTCCCTCCACTTGTCCAACTGCTAGGATGGCTGCTAAAGGCATGGGGGAACCTTGTTGGTCTTGGTCACTGCTGTATTCTCGGTGCCTCGAGTCTGGCTTATATGCCGGCATTCTGCGACTACCTGTTGAATGGCAGAAGGTATGAGGGTTTGGACTGATGGATGGATGCCTGTATGCATTGGTTACGTGGGAAGGTGAGAGGGAGGGAGGAGTTCTGGCTGATTTGGAGAGCTGAGCCAGGAAGACAACAGTGCTAACAGAGATAGAGCAGGTGGTGGGGAGCACACTATGTGTGGGAAGATGGTGAGTTTGGCTTGGGCCTGGTGAGTCTGATATGCAGGTGGGGCCTCCAGGTCGAGAGGCCCACTCATACAGCGGGAAATACCGGCCTGAGCTCAAGGAAGTGATGAGGCTCTGGGAGTGAGGGGGGCATCTGCACGGAAGTATAAACTGAAACCATGGACGCCAGCGAGGTCCCTGGTGAGAAAGGTGAAGCAGGGTGGTGGAAAAGGAAGAACTTGGAGGAATGACCGAGGTTGAGGTGGGACAGAGGGAGAAGAGAAGTGAAAGGGGCAAGGAAAGAGGGTCAGAAGCCGTGGTCAAAGAAATGGGAAGAGCTCCCCTTGTGCAGAGGAAGGAGGGAAGATAGGGCCAGGGAGCCAAATTCTCAAGGCGGAAGTGGTGTGAAAACCAGTCGGTAGTTAGGATACAAAAAGGTCACTGGGATGTTTTGAGCCTGATGAGGTGTGTCCAGCATGGTGGCAGCTGAGGCCATGGGGGTCTGAGAGCCAAGGAGGTAGGCAGGGCCTCGATGCCAAGCAGAGCATAAGGTGCATACCCACCCATCCCCCCAAGCCCAAGCCCTCTGCACAGAGGCTGACTGGCGAGGGGGAGGCAGGTAGGAGGCAGGGTAGGGGAGCCTACCATTTATTCGTGTCCACCATGTGCTGGGCACTGTGCAGCCACATTCATAGCCATTGGCTCATTCGACCCTAATGACAACACTGCAGTATACAAGTAATTATTAGCCTTATCTTCTGTGAGGAAAAAGAAGTCAGATAGGTTAAATGTGTCACTTAAGGTCACAGCCAGGAAATGATGGAGCTAATTCTGAACCCGGGTCTACCATCTACTCTCAGCCACTCTGGCAACGAATGCCAGAGATGGGTACCCACACTGGGCAGCTGGTCCAGGGCTAGGGTCCAGAGCTGAAAGGTTGGAGGAATTCTCTGGCTCTTCCAAGAATCTCCCTCATACACGACTATTTGTCTCCTAGCGACCATCACCGGGGCAGTCATTTTCATCTCACCCATTGACAGCATGCTCAACCCTATACTCTGTCCCATCGCCCCAGCCTCCTTCCACGAGCAGGTCAGGCGGCTGCCTGCCTCAGAACACTAGCTGGAGCTTCCCCCTGGTGTCCCTTAAGACCAGCCCTGCTTGAGCCATCTCCCATCACCCATACCCACATGTGGGGGTCTCCACTGTTCTCCCACAGGCGAAGGGCTGACAGGACCTCTGTTCCACCATGCTCCCTCCTAAGGCTAGGTGAGGTCCCCAGGCAGCAGCAGTGAAGAAAGGCCAAAGGCACGTAGGGACAGCTGAACCCAAAAGAAGAGAATGAAAGGTAACAGAGAAGTGGGACTTGACAGATGCCCCAACCTGTCCAGGCCGAGCGGGGCAGGCCAAACTGAAGGCTTGCTGAGCCGGGCTTGTGCCGAGATGTCACTGGCCTGTTTGGCCCACGAGGAGGCAGATGTTCAAATAGAGGGAGAGCAGTAGGACTTGTTTGCCCCAGGCGGCCCAACGGCACTCAATGGGTACAAACATAGATTGGATCGCAAAGCCTGCGCTTCCTCTCTAGCTGCCCCTAGGAGCTTGGGAGCTTTATGGCTACGGCAGTGCGGCAAAGAGAGCCTTTTCCTGTGGGGAAGTAAAGACGAGGGGGCCTTTCTAGCCACCCCCCCGGGGCTTTGCTGGCCACTGGAGCCAGACCAGGGGCTGCCTTCAGGCACTCCGACCTCTCTTAGGCTGGATTATGGGGAAAACAGGGTCTCCAAGCCTCCAGGGGCTGGGTTTCCAAGCCTCCAGGGGCTGGGTTTCCACTCTTCATCCTGAAGCCTGGGTTGTGCGTGACAGGTGAAGGAAGGAAAGCAGAGCCGGGAGCATCTCTCCCTAGGGCTACTGTCAGGATGCCTGAGGTCATCCTTGTGCGCCACTCCGATTGGGGGCCCTGGCCAGATCAGGGGACAGGGGGTCTGCAGCTTCTGCCCAAGCCCTGGCTTCCTGGAGTGGCACCTTCCCCACCCCCAAATCACCTCCCACAGAGAAGAGCTGAGGCCCTCCCATTCCTACTGTGGCCTCCCCCCAAATCCTACACCGGTAATGTTCACAATTTCTGACGCTAACGCTAAGCCCACATTGTAACCTGCCCTCAGTCCCCAGCCTATCATCTCAGGGAAGACAGTCACACAACCAGAGTCCATCTCTAGCAATGCTTTATTGTTCTGCCGAGGGGTCACATGGTTCCTGCCCTCCACCTCCCTCATCCCTGCTCCCTCGGGCTTTCCAGACCCCTGCTCGCACCCACAGATTATAATATACTCACGATAGAATATGTGTGCATATATAGATGTGCATATGTATGTATCTATATATATATATACACAAATACATATATATATTCTGACTGTACAGTATTTATAGGTACAAATAAAATAGGCTTAAAAATTACAACATTGGCTGGGACCCATCCCACTCCAGTTTACTGAGCTGAAAGAAAAATAGAGCACCAGTTGGCATCTGAACGTCATTTGGAATTCCACGTAAGCCAAGATGGCTGCTGGGTGGGATGGATCAGGTTTGGTCAAGCCCCAGCCGGCTGAGGTGAGACTCAGCCCTTCCACCTGGCTGGCCAGCTGCCGGAAGCAGGGGCCAGGTCTCTGCTTGATGACGGTGCTCTTATGTCAGCCTGTCACCATAGGCAGGAAGAGCAGGGAGAAGGGACACAGACACAGATATGTGTCTCTTCACTACCATCTGTTTTTGCTTGGCCTGTGTGGTGGCAGTGAGCCCGTTTGCTCTCCAGACATAAGAGCGTGTGACCAAGGGCCGCACAGAACACCAGGGAGTGGCAGATCAATTAGGGGGCCCGAGCCGGGGAGACTGAGTCACTGGTCTCCTGAGACCTGAGAAAGGAAGCCCCCTGCCCCCCACTAGCATGTCCCAGGCTGCCCCAAACTGCCCTGTTGCCTGCTGGTAGTGCCCACTCTTTAAATCAGCCTCATGAGAATCGGCATCGCATTTACACCAATAAAACAGCTCATGGCGGTTGGGGCTGCCCCGTGCTCATCCTCTCTAGTCCGCTTTCTCTGGCTGAGCCGGTTCAGGGCCAATATTAGGCCCCGAGGCAGGACCAGAGCCTCCTGCCAACCTCAAAGGGACCCGAGCACCAAAAAGGACGGCCTGGCCTCTCGGAGTGGCAGAGAGCCGGATGCACACACTGCTCGCTAGCTCCTTCCCCCTGCAGGGGGGGTGCTGGCAAGGCTTCAGACTGATGGTGCCTTGGTGGGCCTGGAGGGCCGCAGCAGGCTTCTGCTTCTGAAAATGACTCCTCTCTCTTGGGAGGACAGACCACAGGCTGGTGGCTGCAGGTGGAGTAGAGATGGGACACTGAAATCCTCTCCTCCTCCCCTGTATGCGTGGAGGAGCTTCAGGAAGCCAAGGGGACAGCAGGCTGCTGGATCGGCAGGGGCCTGGCTCTGCCCCTGGAAGCAACACGTGGGGGCTGCTCTCCTCTCCTTACCCCCTTACTCCCTTGGTGCCGAGGGGCCTGGGTGGTGCCAGCCTGGCGCCAAGCTGAGGCTCACAACTTTGTCTCGGGGCCAGCTGCCTGCAGGGTGGGGAAGGAGTCCCGGATCTTTGCCACTTCCATGGCACACAGGTGCCCAAAGACTTTGTTGTACCAGTCAGGAGAACGGCCCCTGGGGAGGTAGAAGCAGGCAGGCATGAGTCATGGGTTCTGCCCTGGAGCCCTGGGCAGGAGGGAGGAAGGAAGGCCTCGCCCCAGCCCCCAGGGATCGATGGCGCAGGGCAGAGGTGGGGAGAGTGCCGCGGCCGAAGGGGCCTGGTACCTGAGATCAGCGCGGCAGATGTGAGTGAGCCGGGAGCGGCCCAGGCCGCAAGGCTCCATGAGGTACTGGGAAGTGAGCACCAGGGCCCGCACCCCTGACTCTGGCACGGGCTGCTCCGGATCCAGGGACTGGGAGACTAGCAGGCAGCCGCCGCGGGGCAGGTCGGAGCGCCACATCCTGTGGGGAAGGGACACACACACGGTCAGGTTCCCGGCGTCCACTCCCAGTCCACCTCCCTGGTCCTGCGCGCACGGCAGGCCGACAGCCAGAAGCCCTCACCGGAGCACCACAAAGTCGCGGCAGGGATGGGGCGCCATGCTGTCGGTGACATAGTGGTACAGCTCCACGCCCGGCGTCAGGGCTTCCAACACCTGGGCCCGCAGCAGGTCCTCGTCCCAGAGGGCCCTCTCCCGCAGCACACGGTGTAGCACCACGGCTGGAGGGGCCGCCACCTCAGTGGACGCCTTCCACACACGCAGGGGGTGCCCGTCTGGCGCCTGCGAGCCACGGGAGTGGGGACGGGGGACAGCCATCAGAGCTGGAGAACACCCACCCCGCCCCTCCCAGCTCCAGCCTGCCCTCGCTTCAGCCCCTGACAAGGGAAGGCTGCAGGGGTCCAGCAGGCTGACTGCTAACCCTAGCCAGATCCGGACAGGCCGTCCCTGTGCTCCCTGTCCTCTCTCTCCTTTCTGGATGTCTGCTTCTCCACCTAGTCAAAAGCACAGAGAGATGGCGAGACACAAGTCCTCTGGGGCTTACCAGGCTCTACCATGAAAGGGACACGGGGCTTGGAATTTCTGGAAGTGAACAGGAAGAGAAGATGGTGATCATCCTCAAGGAACCCGCCATCTAGCACAGGCGGGAGGACAGGGGCACAGCTGCCACTCGGCGGGTCTTCCGTATGTGCCAGGCGCCGTGCCAGCCTCTCATCCCGATCCCAGGAGGGAAGTTTCACCATGACTGGTGTATACACAGCAAACCTCGGCCTCGCGGTCTTACTTGGTGTGGGAATCCAAGAAAGAGGATGGCTAGCGCCAAGAGAAGGACAGAGAAGTCACCTCCGGTCCAGGACATGACAGGAGGCTCTGACCGAAGGAGAGGGCATATCAAGTTGAGGCTTCCTGTGGCTTGGGACATGTAATGCTCGGGGCAGGTCAGCCGGGGCCGGAGCACAAAGGTGCAAGTGTGAGCACTCCGCACGGCCGTGGTGCAGAAAGATACGGGAGGTGAGGCTCTGCACGCACGGAGCTGACGTGTCTGCAGTGGGGCTTTGGTACAGGAATTCCGGCCGGCGATGCCCAACAGAGAGCCCCTGGTCTCATCGGGTTCTCGGGTCCTGAAGGTCCTTGGCTCTGCCGGCTGACACCGTCCAAGATCAAGCCGAGGCACGGTGCGACTGACGGGACTCTGGACCTCCCTGCCTGCCCTGCGAACTCTCCCAGCTCCGCGGCAGCCACGGGCAGTGTGCTACTCACCTTCCTGCAAGCCAGCTCCGTGTGCTGGGGCCCTGGCATACTCATCCAGCCCTTGAAGCGCTCGGCAGCGTCACGGAGCAGCTCCTGGACGCTCTCCTCCATGTAGAGGCTCAGGCTCCTGCCGGCAGCTTGGGCCTGCCGCAGCTCAGCCAGGCCCGGTCCGGGAGGGCTGAGCTCAGCCGCGCTGTAGGAGCCACATAGTTGCAGCACCATGTCCTGGGGGACCTGGGAGAGCACACATGCACTAGGGCCGTGGGGAGCAACAGAAGGTCAGGGGCCATCAGTCCCAGAACCCATGGGATCTCTCGGGTCCATGTTCAGGGGCAGAGAGGCCTGGCCACGGCAGTGAGGTAGATGAGAAAGCTTGTAAGGCAAGAGTTGGAAGTTGAGGGGGTATGTGTCAAGTTGGGCCCTGTCCCTGACTGTGGGTGCAAACCTCTGGCCTGGTGGTTCCCCTGGATCTGGGCCTAGAGTTACTCACTTGGAAAAGTTTCTTGCAGTCACTGATCATGTGTGATAGGCCCTGGGTGGCAGCCATGTTCTCACTCAGGTCCCTAGGGCCCGGCCGGCCAGCCAGGCTGCGTTTGCTCCTGATCCTGGAGGGAAGGGGAGGAGAGGATGGCGCACGGGCACAAGACAAGATGGATGACCAGCTGGCTTCTAGCTCCCCCGAACACAAAACAACCCGCTGCCCTTTAGAAGGCCCTGCTTCCAAAAACATCCAACCGGTCCCAGACCCCCGAAGAGTCAGGCTGACCCCTTGTGGTGACGCCTGGGAACTGCAGGGCCAGCCCTCAAGGGTCCGCAGCCCAAGGGGGCCCAGACCCTCCCCGCCTGGCCCTGCCACATCCTGCCCTGTTTCACCTGGGTGAGGGGCTATCCTTCTTGGAGACGTTGAGATGGAAGATGGAAGGTGCCAGGCACACTGCTAGGTTGCCGGCTGTCATCTGGTTTTCTTCAGCAGAGGCGATGTCACTTAGGAAATAGAGCAGGGTCTGTAGGACCTCGCGGTTCTCATCGGGGAGCAGCAAGGTGGCGGCCTGCGCTGCTGCCAACCACTGATCCTTGGGGAGGACTGTGAGGAAGGAATGGCAGAACGGCTTTCTTATTCCCCTAGAAGCTTCCGGCAACAAGTCTCCTGCTTCTAGGAACGCAGAGGGCACAGTGGTCCCAAAGGAGGTCAGTGAGAGGAAAGGGTAAAGATGGGCTCTGGGAGGTCTCTGCGTACTAGATCAAGCCCCACTCTAATGTACAATGTAACCTTAGGGAAGCCCCTGCCTTTCCTCGGGGCCTCAGTCCAGGTCTCCATATGAGGGGTTTGGGGAATAGAGTGTGGTCTCCCTCCAAGGGCCTTCCAAGCTCTGGATAGCAGATCTTCCAACGAGCTCATTCATGCCCACACCGGGTTCATCTCCCACAAGCCCCAGGATTCAGGGAGATCGAGAACGGGGCAGGATGCTGGGGACAGGTGCAGGTGACTCACGCTGGTAGATCTGCAGGAAAGTGGTGGTGAGCTTGCTGGTGAAGATAGGCTCTGGTAGGTCCCGGAAATACTGCTTCAGCAAGTCGGCCACATCGTAGGCCGACTGGCCGTCATAGCAAACATTGTCTGGCGAGGTCTCATTCATTTGGCGCAGGTTCTGGATCCTGGACTTCACCCCCGACTTGCGGAAGATGCCCACCTGGTCCATGCAGGGAAGGGAGGGAGGGAGACATGCAGGGCAGGGGTGGGGTGGGGAGGAAGGTTATGAGGCCAGCCCTGGACCCGGTGTCAGGAGCGTAGGCCACCCCAGAGACTTCCAAGCCTGCCGGGCAGGCTTCCTGCTGGGCAGGGTAGGAGAAAAATGGCAAAACCAAAGAGAAGGTTTTTATAGCCTCAGGGTCAAGGAGAAAGATGGCTGTAGCAGGAATGAGTAGGAAAAGAGGGGCCGAGGCTAAGGCAGGCTCCTACAGATGGGGCGTACAGTGCCCGGGCCAGAAAGAAGCTGGCAGAGAGCCGGGCAGAGGGGGGCTTCAGCTTAGGAAGGCCCAGAAGGGTCTCTAGTGGGCCAGAAAGGCCCGAGCGGCTCCCCTCCCCCACTCGTCAGCCTTGGCTTTCCTCCCCAGCGCCATCTCTCTGCAGGCCCCCCGCAGGGCTCACCTGGTCCAGGCACTGGCTGCGCAGGTAGCGCATGGCTTGCTGAATGCTCTGTGGCAGCGGCTGGCCGGTGCGCTGCACGTGGATGAGGGGGGGCACCCCGAACACGTGCTGGCCCCGGTAGTCCGGGGTCTTGTGCCTTTTCATGAACTTGGGCACTGACCTGTTTGGGGGAGTGGCAAGAGGTCCGTGAGGGGTGTGGGGTCGGCCCAGACACAGCTTGGAGACTCCGCAGTCTCAGGGGGCTTGGGCAGGGATGCGGGGCTGAGAGACACACCACGTCCCCAGGGTCAACACTGCCTGAGCACGTGCTCGGGGCCCGGCCCTAGGGAGTCACAGAGGCATCCAGGGAGCTCTCGGTCTGCTTAAGGGGATAATTGTGTCAACAGGCAGGGACAGTTTACATGGTCAGGAGTGGAACAAGCAAGAACTTAGGGGAAGACCCACAAGGAAGGAGAACTATACCTAGCGGATCAGAGAAGGCCTCAGGGAGGATGTGGAAATTCAGCAGGCTCTCGAGGGATAGGTAGGTGTTGTCCCAGAGGAGAAATGGGGAAAAGGCATTCCAGGCGGAGAGAACAGCATGGAGAGAGGCAAAGAGGCAGGAAGAAGAGGACGGCCCACTCAGGGAAGGACAACGAGCCCACTAGCCTACATGGTGGCATTGCTTGAGGGCGGCAGGCTAAGAACCCCAGCAGCTGGGGCAGGGCCAGAACACGAAAGGGTCAGGATGGCAAGGAAGCTGGACCTTCCCTGGCACCAGGGGGCGGAGGGGGGCGGGGCATGGAAGGGTGTTTATCAGGAGAGCAGCAACCAAAGCTGCCTTTCAGGACAATCTCACTGGCGGCAGCCTGGAGGCTGGGATGGAGGTACGGCTGGAGGACCTGGGGTCCCCGGCCCCCACTCCTCCTCGCACATGGCACACATACACACGCACGTCCCACGAGCATCCCCCACAGACCACATGCAAGCCATGCCACGGCCCCTCCAGCTTTCTGGCACAACCTACCACTGCTGGCTTCTGGGCTCCTCCCGCTTGCACCCACCTTCTGGGGCTGACCCTCCCAGGGTCCTGGAGCGGGGACAGGGAGGGAGCCAGGGCGTGGGTGAGCAGCTCCCCCCGCCTCCCCACCGCGGCCCGGGAGCACTCACCAGACCCATCCCGGCTTGTGCGGCACGGTGTACTTCTCCATGAAGGCGGTGAGCCGCAGCAGCGAGCCCTTGTGCAGGAGGTGGATCTGGCCGGCAAACTGCCGATTAATCTCCAGGGACTCTGAGTTGAGGCTGGGCCGGTGGGAGTTCTGGAAGCTGTGCCAACGGAGCTTCCTGGTGAAAGATGAGGGGGGCAGGGAAGGTCAGGGAAGCAGGTCTGGATGAATCTTAAGGAAGGCTGAGTTCTTCTGGTCCCTTTATTCTCCCCAAAGAGAGCAGATGCGGGGAGACGCGACTGCTGTTAGTGCTGCTACTGGGTCCCAGGGTGGAAAAACTGAATCTTAGTTTCCAGGGCTGCCCAGTGGCCAAGATGCTGTCAGGGAGGGTGGCACCGAGCTGAGGCCCATCTAGAGCCACCAAGCAGTACCATCATCCCCTTACCCTTCCAAGACTGCAGCAGAGGGCCTGCTCTAAGAACCCAGGATGGCAAAGCTGGGGACCAGAGACCATCTCCTCTAATACCTTTGATTTGCACATGGGGAAACCAAGGGCCAGAGAGGAGCTAGAATTTGCTCAAGGCCATAGCAGAGGCAGGCCCAGAACTTAACCGGGAGGGAACGGAGACCCTGCCCCTGGGCCTTGGGACTAAGAAATTGGCTTGAGGGAGAGTTGTGTGGCAGAGAGAGGGGCAGGAAGAGAGAGAAGAGAAAGGGCGGGGAGGGGGAGAGACAGAGAGACACAATAGAGTCCTCTGTCACCAGCCCTGCTCAAACCTCCCACCTGCAGGGTCTGGTAAGTGAGGCCCCAACGCCTGAATCTCGTCGTTCCCGTGGTGCTGATGCCTGAGGCCCAGCCAGCGAGCCTGCGGCCTCGGGCTCATTCACCGACTTTCCACTACGGTCCAGTTCACTGGAGGAGGCCACAGTGTCAGCAACGGAGTGCCTGTCTTCGACCATCAGGCTGGGGGCAGAGGTGGGCTCCCCGCCTGAATTTGCCTCCTGCCCATTATGTTGGGCTGGACTCCGGGCCTGAGCCCCGGCCTCGGCCTGTGCCTGTGCCAGGGGCTCAGCCTGCGCCCGACCCTGAACCTGAGCTGGGACCACTGACGGAACATCAGCCTGGCCCAGGGCCGAGGACCCTCCGTGGGCCAGGGCCTCCATCTGGGCCAGAGCCTCAGCCTGCCCCTCGACCTCAACTGTGGCCATCTCTAGTGATGAAGTGACCTCCTCCTCCCCTTCGTCCTCCTCCTCTTCTTCCTCTTCCTTATCTCCAGTCTGCAGGTCTGGGTAGATGGCCCGGGACCAGAGCTCTACCCGTTGCTGCAGCCCCCACACGTGCTGGAGGATATCGTCCAGGTGGGCGTAGCCGCCCCTGCCCTCGTCCTCTTCGGCTGCAGCCCCGGCCAGTAGCGGCTCCGCTGGGTACAGCTCAGGCATGTTGTCATAGATGCTGGCATGGCTGCCCGTGGAGCCGCAGGAGCCCCGGCGCCCTTCGTAGCCCCGGGGCCGACCTGGCTGCCAATCTGCCAGGCGCTGTCCATCCTCAGGAAGCAGGCTCTCGATGGACAGGGAGCGAGGGAATGTGCCTGGCTTGTGGTCCCCGGGCACGTGCACAAGGCAGTCCCCCCGGTGCACCCGCTGCGGATGCCGAAACGTGGCCACAGGCCAGGCCTCCCAGGCCCTCTGAGTCGCAGGGCCGCAATCACCAGCGGAGGTGGCTGCTCTGTTCTTGGCCCTGTAGAATCCAGCTGAGAGGAAGCCACGGCGACTGCAGAAAGAGGAGGCTTTTGTGGCCTTCTCTAAGGTGGCTGGGCCACGCGCGGGCTCCGCTTGCTGACCGCCACCCTTTTCCTTCCGCCTCAGAGAATCGAGGTGCTTAAGGAAGCTACGAGAACGGTGCTTCTTGGCTTTGTCCCGGGGACCCTCTTGGCCCTGGGTGGGGCTAAGGAGGAGCTGGTTACTCAGGCTGGGGACACGGCAGGGTGAGGGCAGGTCCGTTGGCTCCGGCGATAGGCTCACGGTGATGGCTGGTAGGGAAGTGGCGCTGAGCTCTGTGAGGACGCTCTCACAGCTGGAGGTCCCCGGCAGGCCAGGGCTCGGGGGGGCCAGCAGGTCAGAGGAGCCCCCACGAGACCAGCATTTACTTTCTCGCTGGAAAGCCCAGTGGTTGCTGATGCTACATTGCTCTTCTTCTTCTGAGTCTTCATTCTGGGGAAGGAGCCACGGGGTCAAGGTCAGAGAAGTCTAGTCCCCAAGCCCTTGTTTGTACCCCCACGCTCTGCCTCCAAACTCTTGGGGGACTTTGAGGTAAAGGGCCCCGCTTTCTGATGGAGGACATGTCCTAGATGGGGAGCTGGCTCTGGGAGCACCAGAATAAGCCAGGGCTCAGAGACGGAGCCCAGATGGATGGTAACGGTCATCTCATTAATCTAATCCCTCCTCATTTTACAGACAGGGAAACCCAGACCCACAAATGAGAAGCTACTTGCCTAAGGTCATACAATGGCATGCAGTAAGTCAGTGAGAGAGCCGGGGTTAGAATCCAGGTGTCCCGGGATGCCTGGGTGGCTCAGTCAGTTAAGCGTCTACCTTCGGCTCAGGTCATGATCCCAGGGTCCTGGGATCGAGTCCCACATCAGACTCCTTACTCAGTGGGGAAGCCTGCTTCTCCCTCTGCCTGCTGCTCCCCCTGCTTGTGCTCTCTCTCTCTCTCTCTCTCTGACAAATAGATAAATAAAATCTTTAAAAACAAACAAAAAAAGAATCCAGGTGTCTTGACCTCCTGTCCTCAGCAGCCTCCCAAGTCTCTAGGCTATAGTCTTAGATTAGAACCACAGAGTGCCAGAACTGGAAGGAGATTTTAGATTTTCTAATTTTCTATTTTGCAATATGGGGAAATCAAGGCCCAGAGAGGGGAAGAGGCTTGCTCAAGGCCACTGACCAGTCAGTGGCAGAGCCAGGACCAGGCTCCAGGGGTTTCCTGCTTCCCAGGCCAGGCCTCTGGCAGCTTAGCTGGCCCTCCTGGCTCCAGACCTCTGGTGGAGAAAGCCCCAGAAGAAACCCACAAAGCCCGACCCTGTGGAAGGACAAGGTCATCAGGCTAGCATTCCAGGGCTCCATGCGGACTAAGAATCCGTTTCTGCAATTCCAGATTGGCAGAGTCAGAAAGGCTTCTTGAGGCTATTAATGCCCCCCTCCAGTTCGGCGTAGAGATGGGGAACATGAGGCTCAGGGGTGTAAGACCTCATGGGGACATAGTTGGGGATCTTGACTTCTCAGATCATATAGGCCATGATTTTTCCACCACATTATTCTGTCTCTGCTCCCTGTCAAGGAATTCTTGCCGTCACAAAGCAGGTAGAGGAGGCAAAGAGATTTCTCTGAGGAAGGGCCATCACTAGACCAAGTTATGAGTAAACTCAGTGGGGAGAGGTGTGCCGAAGTGGGTGGGTGAGGCCATGGGCCAGGGTACTTGTTCTCAGACGCCAACCTCTAGGCCACGCTTGCCAAAACCCAGCAGGCTCATAGAACCCCTTATACTTCACTCCCAGGCTGGAGCAAGGCACCTCTCTGTCCATCCCAGACTCCCAGGACACTGGAGCTAGTTTTGCAAGTGCCCTGTGTATGTCCTGGGTTCCCTGTGGTGCCACAAGGCCCCAGGCTCCACCCTTGCCATGACTCACCTGCTTGCTTTGAAAGTGAACTTCCAGTTTCATCGAGGCACAGTTGTTCAAGGTCATCAGCCTCCTGTAAGGAAAGAAAGCAAGCGCTCACCCAAGGGTCCCAACCAAAGGCTGCGGGGCATGACCCACCAAGACAGTCCCAAGATGCCATCCACTACTTTACATGCCCGAGCCATCAAAACATCTCCCAAGACCCAGTGTTCGTGAAGGTTTCAGTGCCAGACACAATGCTCGGGAGATTGCGGCTTCTGTCCTCTGGGAGCTTATATATGCGGAATAAACCACTACAGAGATGGGGCAAGTTCAAGAACAGGGTAGACCGAGGCACAGCAGGCACACAGAGGGTGGGACAAGGAACTTCCATGAAGGGGGATTAGGCAGTCAGAGAAGGCTTCCCGGAGGACAGGGGTGGGATTCTGAAGGGGAAAGAAAACAGGGACTTCTATCCCAGGCTTCCACAAGAGGCTGTGACAAGGGAGGGAAACAGTCAGTAAACAGACCAGCGCTGGTGTGACAGGGGAGACTGAGGCTGATACGGTTGGTCAGAGCCAGATTGCAAAGGTGCCTCATGCTAAAAAAGCGTTGCTTTCTTCTGCAGGCAGTTGCACACCCCAAGCAGAGGGGAGCCTGCTTGGAAGTGGCGTCTGGTGGCCGTAAAGGGGCTAGATCAGGGCGAGGAGGGGAATGGCAGGCAGGCCAGTTAGTAGGCTACTGAAGCAGATCCAGAAAGCCGTGGTTTGGCCTGAAAGAAGGCCCAAACCCGTGTAGGTAGAGAGGGGCCAAAGCAGAGGAATGTCTGGGGAATCGAACTGAAGGGAGAAGACGAATCACGGCCAGATCTTGGCTCTCTAGCTAGAGGGCCTGAGCGCTGCGGCATCACAGACAGAAGACAGAGTGAGCGGTACGACCGCGGCAGAGGGGTGCTGTCACAGGCTGGCCTCCTCCTCTGTTGGAGGGGACACAGACTGTTTCTTTCCCCGGGGAAGCCCCAAGCCAGGCCCTGACCTCCCAGGCCTGGCCCTTAGTGCCCCCTACCTGCACAGGGCCCCCAAAGAGTCCTCGTCCAGAAAACTGTGGTCCTTCTTCACAGAGCCAATATCCAGGGGAAACAGACCTTCTGTACGGCGGAGAAAAGCCAAGATGAGTCGAGGGCAGTAAGTCAGAAACTCAGTGCCAGTAGCCCTTGAGGTGGGAAGGGGAGGCCAGGGAAGAGAGGAGGCAGGAAGGCAAAAAGCCGAGCCGAAGGAGCAAACCTGGGGTAAGGGAGGGGCCCAGGGAGTTTGGGTTGACCATCAGAGGCAAGTTCAGGGTTGAGGGAAAGGAGGGTTGAGCTGGATGAGAGGACCAACAATAAGACAGGTCCCCAGGAGATGGCAGGCCCGAGGCCTTGGGTGGCTGCCAAGAGCGAAGCTCACCCTCCCACCCCAGGGCTACTCAGACAGGGAACCTCCTCCCCGGCCCAAGGTAAACTGGGGGGAGCAGGGAAAGAGTGAGGACAGAGAGGACAGTATGCAGCCAAACAATGCCTCATTTCCTCCTACTGGTCCAGACAGGGGAGCCCACTCCCTGGGATGTAGGAAGGGGAGGGGAGAGAGGAAGGAGTGGGATCAGAGGACAGAGCATCCAGGAAATCCCACACCTCTCTGCCTGACTGCTAAAAGAAACCCATTTTCTCATTTAACTAACATTACTTGAGCACCTACTTGATGCCAGGCACTGGGGATACAACAGCGAACGAGATAAAAATGATCCCTGCCTTCGCGGAGAGACTGTATGTGGAACAAGATAATACAGTTCTAGGGGTGCCTGGGTGGCTCAGTCGTTAAGCGTCTGCCTTCGGCTCAGGTCATGATCCCAGGGTCCTGTCGTCGAGCCCCGCATCGGGCTCCCTGCTCGGCGGGAAGCCTGCTTCTCCCTCTCCCACTCCCCCTGCTTGTGTTCCCTCTCTCGCTGTGTCTCTGTCAAATAGGTGAAATCTTAAAAAAAAAAAAGAAAGAAAGATAATACAGTTCTAAATGCCATGAAAGACATTAGCCAGGGTGATAGGGTAAAGAGAGGCTGGCAGGGTGGGGGCCACTCGGAGAGAGGTGACTTCCGAGACGAGTCCTGAAGAATAAGAGGGGGTTGGCCGGGCCAAGAGCCTGGGAAGAGGATTCCAGGCAGGACTAACATTAAGGCTCTGAGGAAGGAAAGGTGTGAGCGAGTGGCAGGAAGGAGCCTGGAATGAGGATGATTCCTGGATGACTCCTGGCAGTGGGGCTTGAGTGGACGGTGGTGCCCTCGGGAGGTGGAATTTAGACCTGTTCAATCTGAGATGCCTATCAGACAGATGAGGAGAGACTGAATTGGTGGAATGGATGAATCTGGAGCTCGGGAATGAGGTCTGACAGAGATATTTGGGAATCACCAGAAAATGCACGGTACTTGGAGAAGGATCTCCTGGGAAAGAAATGTGGAGAGGGAAGAGGGGCCAAGATTGAGCTCTGGGACACCCCAACATTTCGATATCCGTTAGAGAAAGCAGAGTCTGGTATAAGAAGACTGACAGTGGCATCTAGAGAGGCAGCCAAGAGAGGCGAGGGTTCCAGAAGCTGAAGTGAGTGGCCAACTTCCCTGAATGCTGTTGAGAGATTAAGACTGGGAAGGGACCGCTGAATTTGACCACGTGGGAGTCCCTGGTGACCTGGACAAGGATTGTTTGGCTGGCAAAGCGGGAGTGAAGGCAGGGTATGGTGGGGAGTGTGGGAAGAAGAGGGAAAGTGGAAACAGCAAATATAAATAACTCTAAAGAAAAAAAAAAAAACAGAAAAATGAAGGGAAACAGCAATCGAGGCCGTGCGGGAGCTGAGATGAGGTCAGGGACCCCAGGATGCATCTCTGCAAATGGCATCCTCAGAAGTGCTACAGTGCAGGGGCCCTGGTCAAGACAAGGTACTTTAACACACTGGTGACACCAGAGCTTAGGAGAGCCAATCAGAGTGACCCACTAGAGATGACGCTGTCGTGACAGGAGCAGGACCAAAGAACACAGCTTCTTGTGTGGTTGGAGAAAGGTTCCGATTGGCCTCCTTTTGCAGATGAAAAACAGAGGGATATGGCAAGCTTTGCGGTAGGGAAGGGGGAGCAACTGAGTAACCTTACCTTCAAAAAGCTGAGCATACTGAGGGAATCCTGTTGCTCGAAGCCACTTGCATGCTCTCTTGGCTTCAACTTCTAAAACGGAACAGAGGGACACAAATAGGCAGAGAAATGGGGTTAGCTGGGGGCTGGCACTGAGCCACCCCGGGTGTACGTTGCCTCACCTTCCGCGGACAAGCACCTCCAGTCCTCGGGATCTGGAAATGGCAAGGAAGGCACGGAGGGACCTGGCATATTCGCTGCGTGTCTCAGCCAGCTGGGATTTACCTTCAGTGCCCCATACCCTACCCTCTGTATGTCCTGGCGCACCTTTCTTGAGCCTCACTCCCTGCCCGTGCCAATACCCCTGTCACTCTCCCACCCCTGCCCAAGAACAGAACCCACCAGCAGCAACTCCCAGGAAAGCGTGGAGTCAGCCACAAAATGTTCAACGATTATCATTCTCTTTCCCACGCTTATTATACCTAACATTCCCCAGCACTTTGAGAACCAAATCTCACTTAACACACACAATATGCTGGGAAGAAGGTCTTACTCTCTCTGTTTTATGGATCTCCAGACAGGCTCAGGAAGGAAGGGACTCATCCACAGTTTCACAGTTGACCAAGGTAGCAGTGCTGGGGCCAGAGTTCAAGCTCAGTCTGACTCTCACTCAGGGCTCCTACCCTTCTGAGGCGGCAGCTTCCCCAGTGCTCACCCTCCCCGACCACACATCGATTTCCAGCCCTCCCTCCCCAGGGAGCCTCCCAGGACTGCTCCAGCTCTCCCCGGTGGCTAGGCCTATGTGGTATAATCCAGTGCTGATTGTCATGGTGACACAGTGTGGGCCTGTGAGAATCTTGGAGGACACTGGTTGGGTTAGCCTCCCACCTCTGCTCTGGGAAGGCCCAGCACCCCTCCCAGCCTCAGTGGAGACATGCACCTGGACTAAAGGAGGCCAGGGTGGGCTGAATGCCGTTAGCAAAGCCCTGGGACTGCCCAGGCAGCAATGTGTTTCCTACCCAAGTGCTGCCAAGGAGCAGTGGGGTTGGGACTATGGGACCAGGCACTGTGGGGCTGGGGGATGGAGGAGGCTGCTGGCTCGGCAGAGCTGCTCTGGCCACAGAGCATGCACCCAACATCTCCTTGATTTCCTTAACGCCCATGACCAGGGGACTCCAAGGCGACTGGTGAGGTTTCTCTGAGACGGGAAGAGCTCTTTCTCTCCAGTGCTCTCCCACAGGGAAATCCAGGATGAGGTCCTGGCAGCTGGGACTGAGAAGTTAAAAGACAAAAAGGTACTTGAGAGGATGCCGGGTGGGGACACAAGGGAGGGAAGAGGGCAGAAAGGTGGAAGTCGGTCAGAAAAAACAACAGGCTTCTCAAGGGTCACACACTGATGAGGATTTGGGGAGGGAGAAGAGAAGGCTCTGGAGCCCCCAAGGGTTTTGGGGGCAAACAGGAGTGGGGCGGGGATGAACATCTGCGCGTTTCGCAGAGTGAGGGCCACCCCAGCATCTGCCTCTGCACGCAGGTGTAGCCAAGTCTGCTCATGTCCGCGATCCGTGAAGACTGGTGTGGGATGGCGCACCCGTACGCACACGCGGACAGGCCCCTCAGTCTGTGTGTGCACCCGAATCTGTATGTGCACATGTTTTTTGTGACTGCAACTTTCTAACCTATGATAAAGATCTAGGGGTCATCAGGACTTCTGAGAGGTCCTGGAAAGCGTTTGTTCCCATAGAGCTCAGCCAACAGCACTGCAGACCCTCTGGCAGGGGGCAATGCAGGCCTGGGAGAGGATGCAGGTCTCTAGGCAACAGGCCGCCTGGGAGAATCGTGCTAAGAGCTGCTGGAAGGGACTTCACATCAGCCCAGGAAGCATTAGAGGACATGGTTTTGCTGTTAGGACAGCTGAGCCAGCTGCCATAACCACCTCCCTGTCTCCTGATCCTACCACATCCCCAGAAGAAGGCCCTTCTCCATCGTCAGAGCCCCTCCCAGCAGCCAGCTCTGCTATCCCATCATTAGGACAAAGAGAAGGTACCGAAGGAGGGACCTGGTAGGAGTTTCCAGAAAGGCAGGCACAGAAGGAAACAGTGATCCCTAAAGGGCCACGAGTCTGGTATGGCCACCCCGGGCAGGGCAGCCAATCCCCAGGGATAGGCCTGCATGCTAAGAACACACCCTCAAGGTCCACTGCGGCCCTCAGTCCTTCGTGACTAGAGGCAGAACAAAGAGCAGAGGGAAGGAGAGAGGCACCTGCCTGCCCGTTACTCCTGAGCTCCCTCCTAAGCCTGAAGGAGGTGGGAGAGTGCAGTAATAAAGTCCTACATCTTAAATATCTGCACCATCTACCCGAGCCACGGAGGCAGAGCCCATAGGAGAGTGGTGAGGCCCCTGCCCCTCTCATGCTAGGCATCAGCCCTAGCCAGGGTTGTCGGGAAGGAAACAAGCTCACGTGGATGGGCACCAAGTTCTTTCACTGCTACCTAGAGCCCTCTAGCCCCTTGCTATTCCAAGTGTGATCCCTGGACCTGCAGCATCAGCATCACCAGGGACCTTGTTAGAAATGCAGAATCCCAGGGGCGCCTGGGTGGCTCGGTCGTTGAGCGTCTGCCTTCAGCTCAGGCCATGATCCCGGGGTCCTGGGATCGAGCCCCAAATCGGGCTCCCTGCTCCGCGGGAAGCCTGCTTCTCCCTCTCCCACTCCCCCTGCTTGTGTTCCCTCTCTGGCTGTGTCTCTCTCTGTCAAATCAACCAATCAATCAATCTTAAAAAAAAAAAAAGAAATGCAGAATCCCAGACCTACTGAATCAGAATTTACATTTATTTAACTAGATCCTGAGTTGATTTGCATGCACATTAAAGTTTGAGAAGCACTGGCCTATATCACCTAGTACAAGGATTCTCACCCTTGGATGCACATTAAAATCAGCTAGGAAGCTTAAAAAATACCAATTTCCTGGGGCCCCAGCCTCAGAGGCTGATGTAATTGGTCTGTGGTGAGGTTCTACAAATCAGCACTTTAAAAAAGCTACAGTATGGGGCATACTGAGGCCCAAGGGACTTCTCCAACTCCCACAGAGTTACATGTCACAGCTGAGACCATGACCCTGATCTTTTATTTTTCTTTAAGTTTTTGTTTCAATTCCAGTTACTTAACATACAGTGTTATTTTAGTTTCAGGTATACAATATAGTGATTCAACATTTCCATGCATCACCCAGTGCTCATTACGACAAGTGCCCAAGTCCTTAATCCCCATCACTGATTATACCCATCCCCCCAGCCACCTCCCCTCTGGTAACCATCAGTGTGTTCTCTATGGTTGAGCACCCGTTTCTTGCTTGCTTGCTCTCTCTCTTTCCCCTTGCTCATTTGTTTTGTTTCCTAAATTGTCTTTCTCTGACTTATTTCGCTGAGCATAAACTCTCTAGCTCCATCCACGTCGGTGCAAACAGCAAGATTTCATTCTTATTTATGGCTGAGTGATATTATATATATATATATATATATACCACATCTTCTTTATCCATTCATCAATTGATAGACACGTGGGCTGCTTCCATATCTTCCCTATTGTAAATAATGCTGCAAAAGACATAGGGGGTATGTGTATCCCTTTGAACTAGTGTTTTTGTATCCTTTGGGGTAAATACCAAGTAGTGCAATTGCTGGGTCATAGGGTAGCTCTATTTTTAACTTTTTGAGGAAACTCCATAGTGTTTACTGGAGTGGCTGCACCAGCTTGCATTCCCACTAACAGTGCAAAAGTGTTCCCCTTTCTCCACGTCCCCTCCAACACCTGTTGTTTCTTGTGTTGTTGATTTTAGCCATCCTAACAGGTGTGAAGTGATATCGAACTGTAGTTTCGGTTTGCATTTCCCTGATGGTAAGTGATGCTGAGCATCTTTTCATGCAGCTGCTGGCCATCTGGATGTCTTCTTTGGAGAAATGTCTGTTCATGTGTGACCCTGATCTTTTCATTTCCTGTCCAGCTCTCTCTTTTCCAGTGAGTTATGCCACTTGCCCTCAGATGCCAGGTAAACAAAGGGTTTAGACTCCAAGGAACCAACTCCAGGTCCCCCCAGTTTTTTCCACCCTTCTGATATAGTGGAGTTACAAGCCTGAGTTGAAATCCTGGTGCTGCCAGTCACGAGCTCTCTGACTTTGGGCAAGTTATTTAAACTCTTTTAAGACTCAGTTTCCCCCTCTGTAAAATGGAAGTAATAGAGTCTACTTGGAATAACTACTGAGGGCATTAAGTAAAATACCGGAGAGGAAAAAAACAAACAAAACCCTGGCACATAGTACAAGCACTCCCCACTAACTGAAGGGTCCCAGGAAAAAAGAACAAACAGAAGAAAGAGGCCCAGCTGGCATCTCCTTTCGGGTCTGGAAAGTGGCTGCCTCCACATTCCTGTCAAAATTGCAGCCAAATGGCTCTGGGAAGTGCGGTTAGTTAGGAGGCAGACATTTCAAAGAGGCCACAATAGCTCCAAAAAAACAAAGGAGCCAAGGAGTTTGAAGCAGGGCTACGGACTGAATCCCCAGCAAGTACTCCCTGGCAGGAATCTGGAGAATGTAATGGGCCATTACCCAACAGGATGTCAGGGACACTGGCTCCCAACAATACACCACCTCATGGAGGCCTGGGAGGCCCTGAGGCTCCCTCCCAGATGGAGCAGTCAGAGACATATGTCTTGGTGATTAAGGACCGAGCTAAAGCGCTTTGCGTTCATCCCTCCCACCCGTCCCAGCCTGCCCAGGCTGGGCCCAGAAATGACCAGCCACCCCCAGGAGAGTCCACTCACCTGAGGTTGGGGCCCCAGTGTCGCAGACTAAGGATGGCCTTATGTGCCCGGCGGGGAGAGTGACACCGGGCAGGCTGAGGCGAGTGATGAAGGAATGTCTGTAACCCCTAGTCCTGCTTCTATGTCCAGATGTGCAGATTTCAGCAGTTTCAACCGCTATATTCTGGAGGCCATGCTCTGGCCAAGGCTAGGATGATATGCTGGGGCAGGTCAGGAATGGCACTCAGCTGGCACAAGCTGGATTCCACAGAGATTTAAGCCCGGACTCTCTCCCTGGGG